TGTAGCCCTGTGATAGACTGGTGACCTGTCCAGGGTGTCCCCTGCCTTAACTTTGGGATAGACTCCAGCCCCCCTGCGACCCTAATGAGGATTAAGCGGTGTATAGATAATGGATGGATGGATGTATAACGAGCCAGTTTAGATGAAATATCACAATTTTTTAAAATGCTTTTTTCCTTTTTTTGGCCTGTAGCCTTTATTGGATAGGGAAGTGGAAAGAAAGACTGAAAGATAGGGAGGAGAGTGGGGAAGGACATGCAGCACAGAGCCGTGGGCCGGATTTGAACCATGGCCACTGTGTCGGGAACTTTCAGTCCCTATGTATGGGTTGCCCGCTCAACCTGTTGAGCTACCGGGGCGCCCAAATATCACAATTTTGAGCTTAAATTTGTTTTCTTCCCAAACAGAATCAAACGGAAAAAATTCAAGTGGAACTGATTTTTCTTGTTTTACAGTTTCTTGCTATGATAAATGGTTTGTCTGGTTTTGAGGGTGAATAGATGTCACCTTGGGCTCTTGGAAATCGTGGTGGAAGTCCTCTCGAACACGTAGTTAGCAACAATATTCAGAAGATTAATTGGCACTAACAAGCTTTTCTCCTGCATTTGTGGTTTCAGTTGAGATTGCAGACTCCACGCCGTCGCCACCTGCTGTCAAGGAGGTGTCAAAGCGCTTCCCTTCCAGTGACTCTCCACAGGTGTCTACAGAGCCGGCCTGGCTGGCACTCGCCAAACGAAAGGCCAAAGCCTGGAGCGACTGTCCTCAGATCATCAAATAACACCCCACCGCAGCTTCGCACATGGCTCCAGCCGGCATCGACACTGCACACTGCCCATGGACTCTGAAGCACCTGGAGAGTCACCGTCACCTGCCCCCCCGACCCCTTCCCTCCACGTCTCATCTCTCACCTTGAAAACCTCGTCCTGACTGTGAAACAAGTAAAGCCCTCCATCACCTCCACACACTGGCTGGTACTATTATCATGTTAAAGTGCGCTTCACATTCAAATATTCCAATACAATCGCACAGATATATGTAAACAATTGTCGCGAGCATGCACACAAAGTATATGTCCCCCAAAAGACCGAGTCCTCAGCAGCCAATCACAGCCATGGCTGGCCACTGCAATAGCCAATCCCGTTTTTTTTTTTGTTTTTTTTTATTTTGTAGCCAACTGTGTCACCATGGTTGTAAATAAATAATTGGCTCAACACAACTTAACACTTCTTGTATTAGCGAGGTGAAGCTCTGACGTATGACAGTGTTTAATCAACAGAGGGTAACTGTCTGAATCGTGTTTTAAGGGCTACCAGTAAAAATAATAACTCAGCATGACGCTGCTGAATCTGCTTCTGGACAGCTGATGGAAGTGTTACAGGCATCTTCTCTGCCCTCCTGTGTATTATTTATGTAAAGCTGCAGATTTATCTATGTTGAAACTATACTGTATCTTTTCTCTGAGCCTTGTTTGTCATGTACAAAAGACGCCTTTTTCTAAAAAAAAACGAAAAAAAAAACAACTCATACTGGAAACTTTAGCATAACAACTCTCACTGTGTCCGTGATGACTGTGATAGCTGCCCAAGAAGCTATTGTACAATTTTTTTTTGCCATTAAAAAGTAACAGAATCTGTCACGAACACACACGGTGGGTGCACCTAAACACAGCACTGAAGACCACAAGTGTTACTGGGCATTTTACGGTGAACTGCAAGTCATCCTTACAGCTGTGCGATGACGCAGATTTTATTTATTTTTTTTGCTTTGCTTATGGAGACAGATGCAACACCTGCTTGCTGTAACCTACGATTCTTGTAGCTGTCCTCCTGTAACACACTTGTGTTTGTAGGCCATCACTTCCTCTTAAATGTGATCTTACATAAGCATTTCCTCTATGAACGAAAAAAAAAAAGATCCATTCTTATTTCCAGACACTCACTTTAATGATCTGTATGTATTTAAGTATGTACTGTATGTAAGTCGAAGGCGTCACCAGAGCTGCGGTCGGAAAGAAGTCACTTTGTCATTTCGTTTCTAACTTTGGTCGTGCACAATAGTGTAGTGTACGCAGTGTTATATGTAACAACAACAAAAAAAAAATGTTTGGTATTATTTGCACTTTTTTGTCCCACTTAGAGATATTCATGAGAAAATTCTTAAAGAGATACAAAATGTTATGAATAATGTAAATTAAATACTGATGTCTGAACCACAGGACCGTGGGTTCATTATTTCTCTGTTCTACATCCTAAACCCTTAATTAAAATCTGATTTCCCAAAGCAGCCTCCCTGCTCTGACACAGAAACAGTGTTTATTATGAAAACCAGAGCAGAGGAAGACACATTAAATCCTTTTAGGTTTCCTCTTCGGCAGTCAGTTTTAAACAGTACACATAATCGTTACGGCACCCGATTACGAGCGACTGTTCCCACGCCACCGGGGATGAGAACAGCTCTCCAGGCAGAGCAAGCGAGGCCAGCATTTGTCCGTTTTGTCCGTCCAGGATCCACACTGTGCCGTCTGTGGAGGCCAGGCCCACCAGAGCCCCCGTCCTGCCCGCAGCAGAGCCGTCGAACACGCACGGAGAGGAGTACACCTTCCCTTTGGTCTGAAAAGTCCAAACTAAAGAGCCGTCTGCACAGTTCAGACAGTACAGGTGGCCGTCATGTGATCCGCACAGAAGCCTCTGCTGGTCTGGAGTGACGCACGGAGACGAGAAGACCGGAGCCTTTGTTTGAAACTGCCACAGCTGCGGAGAAACACAAGAGTCCAGTCACACAATCGAGTATTACAGTATTTTACAGCTGTGTGGGCTCCATTTTCACGACAGACTCTAAATTTGCAAAAGCTGTAATTGTTAAAATCTCAGCCTGGGCTCGTTTGGCAACACTACTGGTTACTGGTGTCATTTATTACCAAACATCCAACTAGTTTGTCATAGAAACAGCAGGAAATGTTGGATTAGCATAAGCAGTGTCTTCATTCAGCTCTGGTGTGGATGTAGAAGAGCAGAAACGATGCAGCTGTTATAAATATGATCCTATACGAGCGGTAGACTTCTCTAGGGAGGGAGAAAGAGACGGAGTGGCATAAAACCCAGGCTACTGCGGCAAAGATTCAGCGTTAGTACACGGTGGAGAGGTTGCTCATGAATATAAGTGCGTTTAAATGACAACAACTGAAAAAATCTTTTACTATAAATAGTCGTACAGATGGGTTTTGATTTGATTGAAATTTGCATAACAAAAAAGAAGCCCACACAGCACAACGAAACAAAACCATCTGCATAACATTTGCGATAAATGATGCATTAGTTGTGTCAGAACTTCACAAAATTTGCCATTCGACAGCCACAACATTAAAACCACCTGCCTAATATTGCCCTCGAGATGCCAAAACAGCTCTGACCTGTCGGAACAAGGACACAGCAGATTCTTGCCTCTGTGGATCGGCCTTTTCTCTGTTGCATCCCATAAATGCTCAATCAGATTGGGGAGTTTGGTAGTCGGGGCAACATCTTGGGCTCTTTGCTGCATTGCTAAAGTTGTAGCAGAGCAGTTTTTGCCATGTGGTTGCGGTCTGTAACATTGTTTGGTACATGTTGAAGTAACATCCAGATGAATGGCAGGTTTCCCAGGAGGACGTTGCTTTGCTTTGATGATCAACGTCACTCACGTCGTTTACTTTTAATGCTGTGGCTGATTTATGTATTTAACAGTCTACAGTCTGACTTGAAAGTAAATCCTATGTTTCAACAAGGAAAAATCAGCTGCACTTAAATGCATGTGTTGATTTTAGTCATTAAATATCAGGATTATGAGATTATTCAGACTTGTGCTGCGTTTTAGTTTAAAATTGCTAACACTGCCTTTTCCCCTCATCAATCTACACTCAATAACCCATAACAGCAACGTGAAAATGCAATTTTCATTTCTGCAAATATTGAATTCAAAAGTCAAAAACATAAATCCTAGATTTCCAAAAAACAAAAGGGCAGATCAAGCGTTGCATGTTAAAACATTAACATCCTGAAACACAGAGCCTGCTGCTCACCAGTTTGCCCGTGTTGCTGAGGCAGCAGATGTTTCCGTCCACCGAGCCGATGACAACGTGAGCGGAGCAGCTGTTGGGTGACGAGAAAAAAGGGACGTCTCTACAGTACGACCACAAGACGTCTCCGCTGTCCTGGAAGAAAGAAACGCTTGTATGACATCGACGAAAAACAGGCACTTTATATTCTTACATGTTTGTCTTTTTATAAAATCAGCTGATGACTGATTGAATATATGAACTCCATCCCTCCATCCTCAATCAAAGCCATCACGAGTGCCAAATATATTCAGAATGTAAAATGTGTGACTGCAAATGACTTTTACGCCCTAAAAACATTTCATGTGACTTAGTATAAAGGCAGCAGACAGTAGAGAATGTCCACCTCTTGGTTCCATGTATACAACAGCGACGTGTACGGCGATCGAAGCCTTCCGATGAAATGTTTTGAACTCACAGGGTCGAGACAGAGCAGACGTCCTCCCAGCGACGACACGTACAGCCGTCTGTGAGATGAGTGGAGGTGTGGAGAGGAAAACACAGCTCCGCCACCACAGTGACACTTCCAAACACACCGTCGAACCTGAAAACACGGACCTGAATCAACCTGTCAGCTTTAACTTTCTCAGGAAATAAGTCTGGTGTGACGGGATTAATAACAGCTAAGATGAGCGAGCTGATTATCGTCAGTTATTGGTGTCTAGTGAATCTGCAACAATGAATTGATTAGCTGTCAACTATTCTTTAAAGAAAAAAAAAATCCATCTTGTTTCATGTGAGTATTTTCTAGTTTCTTTACTCCTCTACAGCAGTGAACAGAATATCTTTGGGTTGTGGACAAAACAAGACATTTGAGGAGTGATCTTGGTCTTTGAGAAACACCGATCGACATCTTACACCATTTTCTGAATTGAATAATTTGTAAATAATCAACAATGAAAATAATTCCTGGTTGCCTAATCCCCCTTGCTCACTTTAAATACATCAGACGGGATTCCATCATCGCCACCAATCTGTGAGTTTTCATGTCAGACACGCTTACCTGTGGGTTCAGGGCGTAAACATGGCCATCATGTGAGCCCACTATAACCAGGCCAGTGAGAGGATCCACAGCAGGACAGCTCTTCACTGCATCTCCCGTCTCAAATGTCCACCGCGTCTTTCCAGATTTGCAGCACAAGAAATGGACACAACCATCGTAGCAACCTGAGAAAGGAATATTACAGCAACCCATGAGACCAATAACGGTAACCGGTAAAATGTTTAGATATTCAGAGAGCTGACACTCACCCACAATAACGAGAGTTCCGCAGCGAGACACGGCAGCTGAGGCCTCGATTCTGTCCCCGAGAACTCGCTCCCACAGAAGGCTCCCGGTGACCAGGTCCAAAGCCTGCATCCTGTGGGAGTGTGATCCGATGAACACTGTTGTTTTTGAACTCTGATCTGTTCCATCTTCTACCAGAAGCACCGGGGAAGCATCCACACATCTGCCTGTGTCCGAGGACCAGCTCAGACTGAGACTCAGACGTTTCATGCTGGAATTATTTTCTCCAAGTTTGTCAGATGGCAAGTATTTATTAGCTTCTGTTTGCCTGAAGTTAAGTTCTATCATCTCGCCTGCTCGTCTTACAACTTTAAAGGCCCGTTTCTCCACCTGTAGTCTTTCGACTGCTGGGGAGTCTTTGCGCTGTTTCTTCGCTGGAACCACTGAGGGAGAATCAGTGAGTCGTTTCTTGGCCTCAGGCGGTGGTGAGGGGATGCTCTCCAACGGAAGCATCGGTGTTAGTTTGGCAACATGGCGCAGAACGTCAGTGAAAGTCCCGTCAAGGATAACCTCCAGAAGCTCTGGTGAGGTGACTCCCACGGCAGAGAGGATGTCTTCACAGAGACGCAGCGCCTTCAGAGAATCTCCTCCACTGAACAGGAAGTTGGATTCCTCGTCAACCGTCGCATCTGAACCGAGACCTAAAGTATCCTGTTGATAGATGGTTAAAATATGGAGTGAACATACACAGAAAACTGTTTTTTTAAAAGTCCCATATTATTGAAATCCATTTTTATTGTGTTTTGTATGTTTCTTAAACTGGGGCTGCAAGGTAGCGCGGTGGTTAGCATTGTTGCCTCGTAGCAAGAAGCGTGAAGAGTGAACACAGAGTCTTCATGCACTCCCAGCATGTGACAAACTGAACTCGCAGTAGATGATTTCTAATTTTGATGCCAATATCCACACAATATTAAGAAAATCGCTAGCGTTAGCATGTTAAGTGGCTTATATTGCAAATTTTGCCATTAGCTTTGACCATATGCCCACAGGTCAGCACATTGGAAGACTGATTAAGACCAATTTCAAAACAAGGACCGGTGTTTTTATATTGTCTGTTTTGCTGCAGTGCGACCTAAACCTAGCTGCTGTTTACATCTGTTTGATCTCTCCTGCTCTCTGTGCTCACATGTAGCGTATTTTAATACGGTTGAATTCCCAATAAAACTGTTCTCATTTATGTACAATTTTGTGTTGTTGTTAGACAATTAAACCAGTACCATGAAACACAGTGCATGAAGTTAACTACCAGTCATTTCCAGAAGTATTCACAAGGTGCTGCTCTGCATGTTTTTGTAACAAACTCACCAAACACATGAGTTAAAAACAACGACTGAGCTGTGAGTGCAGTGATTTGTCCAATTAAAATGACCACTTAGAGAGCAACTCTCATTTACATCTGTGTCAGCTGCCATGTTATGAACTGTACTGGCTGTATTTAAAGCTATAGACACTAAAACAGCCTGAGTAGAACAAGGCTGAAACTAGAATTGTCCAGTCATTGTGAAATGAAATGACCTTTTAAAGACGGGTTTTGGGGATGTGAGGCGTCCCTTAACTTGCTGAAAAGGGGCACAATAGAGAAACTTTAAAGGTGCAGTTATGTCATTAAAAGTGGAAATACCTGCCACAAAGCCTGAAGAGAATCCTTTAGTTTGCTGACATCTCCCCATGAGGACTCTAAAGGCTGCTTCTGTCTCTCATATATTCTCATAAGTACCTCCATGTCTACTTTGCCTGTCAAAAAAACCCCAAAAACATTAGAATGGTCAGTGGGTAAAATGGTGAATGAACAAGCTGCTCTTTCTTGTCAGTACTGACTGTGTGATTCATTCTCACCATGAGAAGTCAAACTTAATGCAGGGACGAGCACCAGAGTGTCGGGAACGCTGTGAGGAGGCAGCAGCAGAGACAGCTGGCTCAGAATGAACCTCTTCAGATCTCCGTCTGTGTCGACGGTCTCGACCAGGTGGTGTTCAGCAGAAGAGGGCAGCTTTTCCTGATGCTCAGCTAAAGCAGAGGGGGTTTGTTCTGCACGCTGCTGCACAGATGAGGGGGTAGACGCTGCGCTCTGGTCTCCAGATGTGGATGCAACAATGAAGGCTAGAAGCCGGAAGCCTTCGTGCAGACCCACGGCACAGGCCTCCACCTGAGGCAGACTCAGCATGAGCTGGAGGAGGGAGATCGGGTCAGTACATACACTTTCTTTCATACTAGAGCAACAGTTCTTGAATCGTTGAACCCACAACCCTCAAAATAACACTTCCAGAGAGTCACGCCCCCCACTATCCACAGACTTGATAGAAGCGTGCAGGGCCATGTACACACACTAACAGGCCTGACAACATAATACAAAGCAACAGCCTGATTACCATTTACATATTATGTTTGGCATTTATAGCAATACAATATAAATTCAAACAGGATATGCGAGGAGAGTGGGGGGTAAGACGTCCTGATTGAACGAAGACCCAAGTTGGATGATCTATTGGAATTGTGGCTTCAGAGTTAGCATGTGGGCGCTATTTTCTCTGTCATTGTGGCTTTTTAAGAGCCCTGCAATATACATATAATTACACTTGTCACTTAATTAGGAGCAGAGTTATGACATGAAGCAAAGGTCAAGCCTGCAGGAAGATAAATCATCCAGACAGATCAACAAGTTTTGACACTTCACATAAACTCTGGTTGTGGAGATAAAACAAACAAGCTGTTTACCGTTAACGTATTATATATATATAGATTCTGTCTTCAGCCACGTTAACGGTAAAAAGCTTGTTTGTATATATATATATATAGTACTTCAAAATTTACAAACAAAACCTTCTTACTTGCTGCAAGCTGTGCAAGTTCACCCGTTTTCCGTTGCGTTTAATCATTCTGTCTTTCCTCCCCTGGTAGTACAGCTGAGCATCTTTAACAGTCACCCAGTCTCCAGTAGCTCTCATCGTCCCGGCAACAACAGCATCCTCATCGTCCAGGAGACACACTCTGTCCTTGCCACCTGCATCAACAGTTGTGCGGCTCTTTATAGAGTTTGTTCACCTCAGTGAGATTTATTTATTATGTGTTCTTTGAAATATTTCCCACCTATGAACACTTGTCCTTCACCCTCTGTAACTCGGCAGCCGTGTTCATCTCTGACTTCCACCACTGTGTCCATCAGAGGAGCCCCAAGAGGCACAGAGCACACTGAGCTGCAAGTTTTGTGATGTTTAAGTCTGATTTTAACATATTTAAAATCAACAAGCAGGCGTTGTGAACACTTTTAATCAGAGAACACTCACTGGTTGTTGGATTGCAGCAGAGACTCTGGTATTTTGTAGCAGCAGGCCCAGCAGGAAACCTCAGTAATCCCGTAGATATTGTAGATGTGGGTTTTGTTGTCCTCATGTCTCCAGCTCCTCAGCAGAGCTGGTGATGGACAAGCTTCTCCACCCAGAGCCAACACCCGCAGCGAGGAGCCAGAAGAGAACACGTCCTGTTTCAGAATACGATGGCCGAAACGCAGCAGCAGAGTGGGTGTGACCTGTGGAAATATGAAAATAACACATCGTAAAAATGGACAAGACTGTCTCAGCCAACACAGAGTCTCTGACGGGTCGACACTTGCCTGTAGAACAGTCGTCTTGTGATCTTTAAACAACAGTTTAGCCAGTCGATTGGGTATTTTCTTGATCACAGCAGGGACAATGAGGAGCCGAGCCCCCGATGATAACGCCAGAAAAATGTCCACCACAGACGGGTCAAAAGTTAAAGGCGAAGCGAGGAAAACCACATCGTCTGAACACATCTGAAACAAAGATCTGAGGAGAGAGATGCAGCTTCTTTGAAACAGATATCAAAACAACGATATTCTAGAGCAAACAACGAATGTATCATTACTGACCTCAGATGCAGTATATTGGGGAGTATGCACTTGTGTGGAACCCTCACGGTTTTAGGGAGGCCTGTTGTTCCAGATGTGTGCAACACGTAGGCCAAGTCTCTGCAGCCAGCATCCTGTTTTAACACAGCTGTGTCCTCCGATGTCTGAGATCTCGAGCCTTGTTCATCCTCAGCGACCGGCAGCGGCTCGATCCGTATCAGGGTCAGTTTGAACTTGGTCAACTCCACATAAACCTCCACGGTTATGTGTTTGATGAGAGCTGTCTGGAATTGCTTTCAAGGGAAGAGAAAGAAAAAAGGAAATTTTGAAATCCACTTTGCTACAGAAAACAACAAGCTCTGAGCATCAATGACAGGACTGTATGAGCTCTGCATTTAGTTGTTAAATATGCAGCAATACATATCACAGAAAAACTAAATATTGCAGTCAGTTTGTTTCCAAAATTGTGCAGACCTAATATACTTTATTTATATACTTTTATACATTGTGTCATTTGGTAAAGGAGGATAAGCAAAATAAAGGTTGCACTGTACAGTGTAACTGTCTAGTTTTTATGCAAATGACAGCAAACCTCTTGAATCTTGAATACACTATGCACAGAAAGTGGAAGGTAGATACAGGCCCAACAGGAAATTGTTGCACTGACTCCAAAAAATGAATATGACCATGTTTTGTTTAGTTTTTTCCCCCTTTTTTTTAACGATATCACGTTTGGTTATTTTTATTTTTTTTTTAACTCAAGTCTGAGCATTTGTTACAGATTATTAGCACATATTGTACTGTGTAAAACTATAATTGTATTTATGCCTACTACATTTAAAATATTCAACCTGCAGCAGGTCCGTCTTTACAGCACAGTACTTGAGGCCACATTGCTTCATGACTCTGGCAGACAGAAACCCGGGAGCTTCCGGGTCCAGTGGGACGTAAGCAGCAGCTGACTGCAGGATCCTGAAAAACAACATTAATGGTATAATTTATCATTTATTATGTGCACAGTGTTTCAATGCTGCTGCATGTCCACACACTGAGTTTTAAAATCCTGATCAGAATCACATATAAGCTGGTGGTGTGGAAGAATCCTTGGTCATCCTTTGAAATCCACAGAACCGGAAAGTTGAATTAAATTTCTGTCATATTCTAAGCTCAACTTCAGGCTTTCAATTAATTTCATCTTGTTCTTAATGTATCGAGTGAAAGTATTTACATACAAGTACATTCTTGATTTTAGTCTCTCTGTGACAAACATCCATCCATCCACCCATTATCTATACACCGCTTAATCCTCACGAGGGTCGCAGGGGGCTGGAGCCTATCCCAGCTGACTCAGGGCGAAAGCAGGGGACACCCTGGACAGGTCACCAGTCTATCACAGGGTTACACTTAGAAACAGACAACCAAGCACACTCACATTCACACCTATGGACAATTTAGAATCACCAATTAACCTCAATGTGTTTTTGGACTTGTGGGAGGAAGCCAGAGAACCTGGAGAGAACCCACGCTGCGCGGGGAGAACATGCAAACTCCACGCAGAAAGATCCTAGTGTCCTGACCGGGACGCAAACCGGCGACCTTCTTGCTGCAAGGCAATGGTGCTAACCATCGAGCCACCTTGCAGGCCATGACAACTATCCTATCTCCTAAATGTAATGATCCAGTAAAGTTCGCTAGATACCATGTCTTTTTTATTCTGTATAATAATATATATTTGTGGTGTTTTCTGTATGATTATGAAATATGAACTGTATTTTTATAGTAAACACATTGTGATCACTTAAAAACAACCTCCACTGTAGCTTTGATCATTTTAAGAATGCTCCTTTAGGATTCCTTTGAGTTGCCTGCCAACTTATTTGTCATCTATTCTTCAGTGCTGAAAAGAATGTTCAATACATTTTTATTTGTATACTTACTGTGAAAAACGTGATATATCCTTATAGTAAACATATTGTGATCAATTTGAAAAACTGTAATGTAACTTTCAAAATCTTAAGTATGATTGTGTAACACACTACTTCTGTGAATTTAAAGATTCAATAGAAAATAATGTATTATTCAAATAAGACTCTATGCATTCCTATAAAACCAAAGTTATTTCTTATAAAGTGAATAGAATTTGGAGAAATTTCTATGAATCCAACACTATTCTACTTAAAAACTGGGAAATCCTGTAAGACTTGTTGACGAGGGATAATAACAATAATAACGTAAAGATGCAACAGAAATTAAAGTTTAACTGTAAAAAAGATGAGACCTTGATGACTGACCCAGATTACAGCAGCTGTAGGTGTAAAAATGGTACGATGCAGCTTTAACAAGCAGCACTACACCTGCCATCAGCTGCAGTGTTTTCATGTGTCAGTCAGAGCAGTGAACTCACCCCAGAATCCACACCGGTATGAGAACATCATCGCCGCCGTACAGCCCGATCAGGCCGTTATTGGCAGAACAATTCTTCCGCAGAACACCGGAGAGTTCATCGGCGAGTTGAGCCACATCTCTGTAGAGCAGAGTCACCGGAGCTCCGGACGCCGAGCCGCTGTATGTGACCGCTGCTCTATCCGGGTGAAGAGAGGCAGCGGCGGCTACGAGCTGCTGCAGCGTCCGAGCGGACATACCGGGGAGCCGTTTAAACACCACCTTCTGCTCCCCTGTCGGTGCACATTCTGGCTGATAAAAAAAAGCGCTAAAATATATACATTATAATTCAAATATTGCTAAATATAGGCGAAACAGGTTTTGTTTACATCCAGTCAGACCACGTTTGTCGAGGAAATATGACGTAGGACTTGAAGATGACGTACAATGTAGGCGCACAGATCTGTCATTGCGACGGCTAAAAAAAAAATCCACAAAAGGAGTTTAGAAGACATGAACTCAAATAAAATAAATGTCAAAATTTTGAATTTGCAATATAAAAAAACATACAACTGCTTATATATACATTTTTAAATTGTAAATCAGATAAAACAACTTTAACTGCCTCTAAAGCTTAGCCGTGACACCTACATCAAACACTGTGGAAACAATAGACTAATTTAAATAGCACACTGGTTTCATAACCAAATTTTAAAAAAGAAAAAAAAAAAAAGAACTTGGCATAATTAAAAACCAATGTCATGTTAGCCTTAGAAATTCTCTTCTGCTTCCAAATCATAAATGACCCACCTGTTGTTTTCTCTCAGAGATTGTTTACCAAAATGTTTTAATGTTTTCTTATTGGAATTATTCATTTTATTTTATTATTATTACTTAATCTATTGAACTTAACACACCAGCAGCTTTTTGTGGTAGTTGTTCTATCTCCTGTGCCATTAAAAAATGTAATAAATACAAATTGGAAGCAGTTTATTTATGTAAGTTCTCATCTTTGCATCTAAATTTAGAGTAAATTTAATGGTATCTTATGTGGTAATGTCCCATCAAGTTTTACATCTACAACAAAATGAAACTTGAATGGAAAATTATGTTCTAATATTTGTTTAAAACAATAGCAATTAGAAATTTTCACTTAATCATTTAATGACGCCACTGATTTCAACTACTGGTCATCTCAATCCGGTTTTAACTATTTGTTGGCAGAATATTGTCCACTTTATCACTGCTCACCCCGCTACGGTTTAAATATTTGCGTCACCCCAAACGCACCATTGGAGTGTCATAATTTCCCAGCGTCATGGAAAGCACCACGTTTCCATCAACCAATCACATCTCTCCATTTAGAGAAAGAAAAATCTTAAACCCGAAAGCGCCAGAAGCGAACTGCAGCTTCTCACCGACTGTTAACATCGAGAAGTTCTTTATTTTACAAGCAACATGGATGAACTTTTAAGGAAGCGACTACGTGAGAATAGCTTTAACTACAAAAGGTCGCTGGAGCGAATAATAGACAAGGTATGTGTGGGACAGTGAGGCTGTGGCGGTGGTAACGTTAGCACGAAGTTAGTAAACGTTAGCTCGAGTTCACTTTAAATGTGAGCGGTGCAAATGTCAACTTGTTAACATCTGGTTGTTTTCAACAGTATTCAAAACTTCAGGACCAAGACGGAGGACTGGAGGTGGACCTCAACGATATAAAACCCCAAAGTAAGTGAACTGAAAAGCTTACATTAGATTGTTAGTGGTTTAGCAGCTAGTCGTGCTGCTAAAGTGGACAGAAACGAAATAAACCATTTTTACTGATAGTGCGCCATATTGGACGCTAGCTTATTTATTGTAAAAATGATCATCATTCAACAGAATATAAATACTAAGTAGGTTTGGGTTTTTTCCCCCGTTTGTTTGGATTGAAAGTTACCATCACCCATGTTATATATTTGTCATTCAAATTTTGAAGAAAATATTCTTCAAACAACCATCGTACATAAATACTAATAATAGTAAACTATGTTTCTGTAGCACCTTCCAAAACTAGAGTTAAAATGTGCTTACAAAACATTTAAATGCACAGAACATTAAAAAGCAACAATAAAACATTGGAAGAATACAATCAAACATTTGTGAAGTCTGTAACACAATTAAAATGATAACAAAACATTAGAAAAGACATCTAATACTATAGAAATGCCAGTCTATACAGGTGGATGTTAAAAACCATTCACACTGAGGCACCGACTGTAAGGGGACTTGGTTTCAGAGCCTAAACCAGTATGAGCACGCTCCCCCTGTGTTTAAGACTGAACTGTGGAGCTTTTAACAATAATCGTTGCTCCAATCTGAAGCGTTCAGGTGCAGAATAGGTGGTTGAAATTTGTAGAGTGCAGCTCGACCACGTAGAGATTTGAAACTCACTGAAGAGACTGACTGTCTTGTGTCGTCATGATTGTAAAAGTCAGCTTTCCCAAACATACACACCCAAAATCTGTTAAAACAAGACCACAAAAATATTTAAACACAATAAAAAAAAAAACAGCAACAAAATGACAGCACTTAAAACTCTTTATTTACCCCTATTACATCTATTCTTGGTCCTATTCCAACCTTTTTAATGCAATAAGATTTCATTACACAAACAAGAATCATCAAACAATCACACTTGCTTCAAAAATACTCTTGTAGCTACTGAATACTTAAACGTAGCAGTTTCTGGAGTTCTCTTATGTTCCTCCGGTTTGATGAAGAACAATCTTGTTCGAATACTGAAGCCTGTGAATATGAATCTAAATTGTGCTTTAGTGACACCTTGTGGTAGTTTTTTTTTTTTGGACCCAAGGAGACACAACTGAGGGGAGTCTGGTGTGGACGCTTTAATCCATCATGTCCAAGTTTCACCAACACCTCCGTTCAATAGTCTAGAACCACAGAGCACTGGCATGCTAAAAGTGCCATCTGCCTCTTTGTATTTCCATCTCTTTTTATCTTGCAGCAGGCCCATCCCTAAATAGCTTCAAACGAGTGTTGTAGTATTGATGTCTAATTTTGTATTAGATATTATAACCTGCCATGTATCCTCCCAATATCCAGTCTCTTTGCCAAATAAACTTTAGGTTCTCGCACTTCTCAGTTTCTGTGTTGATGGTTTTTTTTTTTGTAGAACACTGACCGAAATGACCTAAATGTTAGTCAATAAATCTGACAGATCAGTCAATAATTTAAGTTGTAGCCGGTCTCATTGTGTGTCTTTTCTTTCTTGTGTCTGTTCACGGTGAAGCACTTGGAAACTACATGAGGCTGTCAAAATTCAATCTGAGCAGGATGGAATCAAAGGTATGGCTTACTATCAACATCTTCTTCAGCCATGTGTGACACAAAATACAATGAAGATCAGATACTAATGCTTTCATCGCATATGTCTTCTCCTCAGAGCCTGGCAAATTTAGAAGAGGAGTCAGTAAGGGGTAAGGTTAAAAAACCCAAAATGAAAATGGCAATGCACAGGGTTGTTTTTTTTTTATATATATCTTCATCCCTAATACCATTACTTTAACATTTCTGACACAGCACAGGACATTACAAGAGACTCTCAGGTAAATACAGCTTCATTTATCAAACATCTTTGTACTTAATATCTGGCAAAGCTTAAATGAATGATGGTTTATTTTCAGCATCTGGACTTCACATATCAAGATGACAGAGCTGATGAGGCTTCTGATACAGTCAGCCAACTGGAAGTGGAAGATAAAGGTAATAACGGGAAATAAATATCCTTCTAAACAGTACATGACAGGACCTGTTATTGCGGAAATCTAAATTAAAACAGTTTATTTCTTTTCTCCATCTGTGTCTACAGAGATGTCTAGAAGTGAAGAGGCTCAGCTAACTGTGAGCTTGTTGGATGAGAGTCAGAGAAACCTTTCTCAGGTGGATTTGCAGCCTGAAGACCAAGACGAGGAACTGCAACTGTCTCTAAGCAGCCACGGCAGCTCCTTGGTGGAGCTCTACCCCAGCATGATTAGTCGAATAGGGAGAGCCTGGCACCGGCAGCACGTCTCTACAGCTGCTGACTCTGTGCTGAGGAGGTATCGCAGGTGGCGTCGGCAGTCAAACAGGAGCAATCCCAACTACACCTTCGTTGTCCCGCTGAGACACACAAACAGCAATTCAAAGAAGATGACCAGCAGGGAAAACCACAGCAAACCCGTGAAAAGGCAGTTCACGAGGACCGAAACGACTCCTCAGTCTCCTTTGCGGATAGTAACCAGCTTGCATGACTGGCAACCACAGCAGCAGTCTCCTGGTAAGGAGAGAGGCTTGCAGCACCACTCTCTCCTGGCAATGGACTTCTCTGATTACTCTGAGATCTCTAAACCCAAAGAGATCTCCCTGAACGAGACCTTCATTGTGTCTCAGCAGTCCCCTCCTAAACTGTCCCAGCCGAGAGAACAGGCCTCCATTTACACTGTCAGTCCTTCGCGACCTTGCCATCCCACTGCTAAAGCGACCATGGACTCATTCGTTAATTTTAAAAGGTCTTCTCTTTCTGCACACTCTGTACAGACTGCTGGGTCTTCCATGTATGCATCAGAAACCAGTGCTGTAAGAGAAAGACCTGATATCTACAGCTCTCCAGTCAGGCTGAGTCCCTTAAAAGCAAGAATGATGAACACCCTCAGTAGATCGCCTCATGCAGTTCCCAGAAGCCCCAAAGATTATTTCATGGAAAACTACTCCAGGGAGCCTGTGAGGTCCAGATCTCTCTCCACCAGTCTGTCCACTCCTCCACAGAGGTCTGTTGTCCCACGAAGGATGCTTCACCCTCAAGACTCCCATCAGCTGCGCTCACCTCAGTCGGCCGGTCGTCACAAGCTCAGACGGCACCTTTCCTTTGATTCCTCCCTGAAGCCGATCCAATACTCGCCAAAGAAAGTGGATGAGGATTTCATTAAACTTTACCACAAGTTTGTGTGCCAGAACAAATCAGCTTTCCTCAACGGCCCTCCCTGCCGCCTGTGTGCTCGAAACTCCGAGGCCAGCAGAGGCCACTCTTCCTCAGCTCTGGCCGCTCTTGCCTTGTCGCCCCACCGTGCTATCCTGAGGAAACGCCACAGGGAGTTAGGCTGGGACAGCCGTCCCCAGTCCAAACGCTTCAGGGAAGAGTGCTGCACATACTCCCCAGGGTCGAGACGTCACGGGAGGGAGATGCTGAGGCGCTGTCTCTCACCGTCTGAAGTGCAGCTGCCTCATGGGGGCCTCTCCTGTAGCTCCAGTAAACACAGCATGTTTCAAAGGTGCGGCACTCAGCAGCCTCCAGCACATCAGCAATCCTGGATGAGTCAGCGCCGGCCCGGATCTGCAGCAGATTTTTCAGGCCTGGGTAAGTCACAATTGGAAAGCACTCTATTTTACGCAACTCCCTATTTAAGTCTGCCTTTGAGCCACAACACATCCTCTCATCACTGACTGCTTAAATAATTACTGTGCTTCATTTAACAGGAAATTCGCTTGAGAGTAAAACAGCCGATGGCTACTCCCCCAGGTGATTATCATGAATTCCTGTGTTGAGTGTTTCTCTGGTCTCCCTGCACTGCTGTTTTCTTGTAATCACCTGCACTCCTTTTTCTTCTATTACGTGCAGAAAATGGTGATGAACAGGGATCATGAAGGAAGAAGACAGAGAATTTCAACAAGTTCCAGTGTAGAAAACTGTTCATAGTTGGTCAGGTAACAGTGTTGAATAACTGTGTAGCAGCATGACTGTACACATTTGTCTGTCACATAACTGTTCAATGTTCAAGGCTCTGTAGTAGTGTGTCTATGTATCTGTTTTAAACATATGAGTGATATACTCTTGCATCCTCTTGTTCAATTTAAGACTTTGTTGCTGTGATACATTATTGCCAAGTTAATACCGCAACATGTATATTTTTTAATGTCCATTATTAAAATAAAACCACTAATGTGACAATGCAATTTTTACAAGAAAAAACAGTATATGTTTGTCATTGCAGTTAATCTGTTTATTTTACGTACTTTTTCTTTATATGTAAAATTTAAGACAACAAAATATCAAACAGACCAAAACAATACAGCATTGTGGTTAATAAAGTAAACAAAGAAAATAAAGGTCATTTCACTTTTTGGTCACTAGTCTTGTGCGATCTTCTGACATAGAAAATTCTATCTAAGGCTCCTGTTTGTAAAAACTTGGAATATATGTGAAAGCATATTAAACTAATTTTTAAGATTTTTTCTGAAAATACATCTGACCTGTAACCTTCCAAATAAAAGTAACAAAAGTGGGTTGTACCTGGAATGTAAAAAAAACAGCAAAGAACATAATGGATACAGTTCAGGCACTAGAGGTCAGCAAAAGCAACATTTTTCAACGGCTCTTTTTATGATCTGAGCCAGATGATGAGCCTTTTGCAGAAAAAGAGTGTGCTGGAGATGTGCAATATCTTTTAGTGTCCTAGCTAGCAGTAATCAGACACCAGGCTGTATCTTTTCCAGTTGTGGAAGCTTTCGGTACATCCATGGTGCAGTTGCTGCTGTAAATACAGTTGGTTGTGCTGTTGGGACAGCAGCTACCACTCCAGCTCCACTGGATATTTCCCAGTCAGGCAGGCGGTGCAGTGGCCCACTCTCCTGCTGGACTTGTTACAGGAGCTGATCTTGTCCTTCTCCTGCAGGGAGGCGATTCCCTCCTGGACAGCTGATACGAGGCCCTCCACAGTCAGATACTTAACGCTGTCAGCACCTGTACAATGAGGTTAGGGTTAACGGAGATGCACACTTCAATTTTGCTCAGATGTGTGTTTTGGCATAATAATTGAAATATTAGACTACTTTGTAGGGACAGGCCGTACTGTCCACACTACATAATACTGCATATTAGTACTAACCAATATAACCAGCAATGTCCTGAAACTCTGGCTTGTTGGCAATGAGCTCCTCCTTGGTTGGAATGTTGATGCCCATGTAGCAGGGGAACTTGATAGGTGGAGATGCCACCCTGATATGGACCTGTGCAGGAGAATACGGATGGTAGTTTAACTTAAGTTGAAGGGGGGGAGGGGAATCACCCGTTAAACAACAACAACAACAACAGGGACTCTCGGTGTGTTTACATGCGCCTTCAGGACGAGCTTTTTTAAATTCTGTCTCCTACAACTCCCAGAATTCACCGTAAAGTCGCAGATATTTGAGTTTTTCTATTTTTTCATATCATCCCATGATATTAATGTATAATAACTGACCAAATCCCCAAAGGATGAAAGTGGGTCAATCTGTAATACTCTGCATCTGCCCAGGCAGTGATTTAAAAAAAGGTATGGTGCTCTTGGACATGTTTTATAGCTGTAACATAAATGATACAGAAATAAAACATAAATGCTGGTGTCAATATCGACACTTCCTAGTAAAAGTATATATATTAAAACAAAAAAACAGAATTGGGTTGAAAATGGCTCAATACACCACTTACAGTTTTAAATTATCTTAAACCTTTTCAGGGAACTGCTGACACAGAGTCAACCTTTAAATGTAGCATCCGTGATGTCAAAATTTGGTTTGTGATCTACCATTGTGAAGCCTTGAGTTTGGCATTTGGTTGTCACCATCTTGGTCTTTTGAATTCGGATGTAACAATCAACTGGTGGATGTGACTGAAAAAATCTGAGGACATTGCACAGTGATACAGTAGCAATCTGTCAATCACAAGGCAGCCCTACCATAAAACATACCCTGCTTTATCATCTATTTTACTCTAAATACGTCCATAGTTTACTAAATGAACACCGTGCCTAATTCAAAATAGTTTTAAAATTAGTAATCAAGACCATAGATTCACTAGAAAAAAAGTTTACGGGGGTACTAGTGAGAAATAGGGTCATTTGCTCAGAGATTTGGATACAATCGGACTTCTTTTTGCAACCAGAGAAGTCTTTCTCTGCTGGTGTGTTTAAAGAATGGAGGTTTGGCTTCACTTTTCAGACCCAGAGGCCACATCCATCTTTTATTTACAATCTATGATAAGTAATCATGATTTACAGTAATTTATTCCATTTTTTACTTAAACTACACTGTGTCATCCTACACCAGTTTTTGCGTGGACATGTCCGTGCCAACTAAAATATTCCATGCATACAACAACAAACGTAGTTTACAGAAAAACTTGGACTGCTTCATCAGGTCGAGGAAGAATCCTACAGAGGACTGAATCCTGTACAACCAGGCCAGAAACCCACTGACAAAGGAGATCACAGTCGCAAACTGTTACACTGAAATGTTGGAAAACAGGTTTTCAGCTAATGACTGTGTCAGTGTGAAAATGGCCTGCAGGACTAACTACAGGAGACAACCCATCAACTTCCAGACGACCTCAATCTGTTTTACTGCAGCACATGAACGACCAGTGCTGGCACCCTGCAGGGATGTGTGTTTTCCCTCTATACTACTGACTGTATCTCAGAATATCTGCATAAAGTCACACCAACTTGTAAAGCTCTCGTAAACCAACCTCTGTTGCACCAGCTTCTTTCAGTAGTTTAATGATGGGGGAGATGGTGTTGCCTCTGACGATGGAGTCATCAATTAACACCACTCGTTTCCCAGCAAAGTTGTCGGTCAATGCCCCAAACTTCTTGGCCACTCCGAGCTGCCTCAACCGAGTATTTGGCTGAATAAATGTTCTCCCAACGTAGCGGTTCTTACACAGAACCTCTATGTATGGAAGGCCAGACTGAGAGGAGAACAAGAAGAGAAGAGCTTGTAAGAACTAGATCCAATCATGTGTTTTTTTTTGTTTTTTTTTAAATCATACACCAAGTTCGGCAGACAGACCTGTTGAGCGTAGCCCAGGGCAGCTGGGGTTGCAGACTCTGGCACAGTGCTGACCACGTCCACATCTGTTGGAGCCTCGATGGCTAACTGCCGACCACAGCGCTGCCGCACAGTATAGACCATCTGTCCTGAAGTACATGAATATTTTAGAAACACTGAAGGGTAGCCAAACAGTTAAAAACAAGGTCAATAGGAAGTGCGTTAGACATAATAAATATTCATACCTTCAAAAATAGAGTCTGGTCTGGCAAAGTAAACATATTCAAAAATGCAGAAGGCAGGGAGGTCTCCCTCGGGACGGGGCACCACACTCAGAGACTTGACTCCATGTTTGGATATCTGAACTATCTCTCCAGGTAGGACCTCTCTGTAATACCTGAGAATCAGAAAACGTGTAAACAGCCAAACTCCCAGTGCTGCAGGTTGCCGCTACATTACAGATGATATTCCAAAAGAAAAACTCACTTGGCACCGATGGACTGGAAGCTGCATGACTCTGACGACACAACCCAGCCCTCGGTGTCCTCCTCTCCAGCACCTGACCAGAACAAAGGAGGTGAAAGAGTTCATCTTCCCCCGGTTCACATACCTGACCTCTTATGAAATCAAAACCGTGTCAACATGCTCGAGCACTAATAACCTCCTGTGCGTAAAACAGTCTTGAGGACAAAGTCAAGGCAAAGTTATTTATGGAGTACAATCAAAACAACGGCCTTTGAGCTAAAGTGCTTTCCAACAGAGAAACAAGGATACCATTTCACATTTACAAGTTTAAATATTCTGGATAATGTTTGGTTAACTCTATATTATTCTATTAAATACACATTTACCTGTTTCTAAAAAAAAACAAAAAACTTGTCATTTCACTTTCTGATCCCCAAAAGCTCAGGCATGTTGAAAAGTATGTTATCTTGAAAGAAATGTCAAAAGTACAGATTGTTTCCACAGACAGAAACTGTAAATACTGAGCAAAATGTTAGATTCTCAACTAGTAATCTGTGCTGAGCTGTTTGGTCAGAAAACTTATTGGAATCTAAGCTTACAATGATGATAGTTGCTCAAAATATATTACTTTTACATGTATTTATTTTTAAATAAAATATAAGCTTTAACCGGAGTCTGGAAAAATAAAAAGTTATGTGCTCCTCAGTACAAACATGAAGCCTTTTGTAACTGCAACCAACAGTCACCTGACAAAAATTCAGACTTTTCAGCTGACTGCAGGCTGTGGTAACACAAAGCAGATGAGATAACAAAAGGTAAGTTAATCACAAAGGGAATTCTGTCGATAATTCTTCAGACAGGAGTCAAGTGGACAAATTAAAAACGTAAGAAGAAAAAACACCTGATGGCAATGTTTTGGGGTTTTTTTTCCAAGTTTTGCAAAAAAAAAAAGATTGAATAAAATTCAGCTGTTTTTCATTTCTTATGATTATAACTTTGTTATACTGCTCAGAATACATTTTGAGTTGTCGCTACTTCTAGCCTTGGTTGTGCCGTTTCCACAGAGATGAAGGACTTTATATTGCAGTGAAAAATTTGTCAAAATGTGGCAGGATCATAAAAAGATGATTAAAAAACACGTTTTGAATACCTGTGGTGTGCAGTTTAGAGATGGGAACAAGCCGTCCAATGCAAAGAGGCCGATTTCCGTAAGGGTCACGCACTGCATAGACAACATCTTTGAACATGACCAACAGCGAGTATGACGTGGGGGTTTCAGTCATGAGGTTCTTTATCCTACAAAAAAAAGTAATGAAACAAGTATTAAAAATTGTGTGCAAAAGAAAAACATCACATCTGCAGCATGAAGCCCCAGCACTCACCTGGCGACCCAGTCAGGTGAGTCTAGCTCCTCCGTCGGTGGAGTAAAAGCCAGCAGCTGGGTAATGAGCTCGCTGTCTGAACCGGTGGAGAGGCCGACACCGTGGCGCATCACCTGCACAGCACATTTACAACGACTGATTCAGTGCATATACAGAAGTGTTATTTTATACCTGCAGACAGCCATGTGGTTATTTATGCCATAGAGATGAACCACATACGAGCAAAGAGTGATCAGTTACATCGATGTTTATTCATTACTGCACATAGAAGAAAGGCGTGTCATAAATACCATTTACAAACACATTTCCCTCCTTTATTTGTGGTGATGAGACTACTCAAGGAGAGGACATTGATATGCACCACATTCAGCAGGGATGGGCAGAGGGCCATTCTCACCTTTTTCCTCAAGGCATGCGCATTAACTAGCTCTCCATTGTGTGCTACAGCGATCTTGCCATGCAGCGTATCCACCACAAAGGGTTGGCAGTTCTGCAGCTCTGAAATCCCAGTAGTTGAATAGCGGGTGTGACAAATACCAAGGTTACCATAGCGCAGTTTGAGCAGAGCCTCGGGTGGGAATGCAGTGTTCACTAATCCCATTCCCTAAAAAAATAAAAATAAAACGGCAAGAGGAATGAGAGGAGTGAGATGGCTTCACTTACATAGTCTGCACAAAATATTGAAATGTATTTATTTATTTTTTTAATCAGGGCAAAATCTGAGTGTGATGAGGCTTCAAAACACTCTAACAGAGGCCTTGACTGTTTACTGCTTATATAACTGTGGGGTTTGTTTGTGTGTACATCTAGTATGAATGACTGTAACAAGATGCTCTGTAACTGAGGTGTTTTTGATAGTGTGATTTAAGCTGGGCTCATACAAGCAGCTTCTCAGTGTTACCTTGTGTGTTGTGTATGTGGGTGGACTGGCTCCATTACTTGTGACAATCCCAGCACTTTCCTGACCCCTGAGAAGACACAAACATTTTAAACTGTAACAGTGTAAACAACTCAGTTGGAGGTTATTGTCATAATGAAAAATCCCTGTTTTGTTTCTGCAAGGCTGAACATGAATCTGGGAGTTCAACTCCTTGTATTCAGTATGAGCCTTGAGGCAAATCAAACTGGTTTGAGTCAGAAAAAACGGAGCAAGATGGAGGAACAAAAAAAACAGCAGTGCTTCTCTGCTGCTGAGCTGCCATATATGGAGAGTCGTCTTGCTGCAGCTTCAGCCCATTTACCAAGCTGCTTCTCAGATTACAGCTGGTCCCGCCCCCTCAGCACACAGCTTAAGCCAGTGGTGAGGCTGCTTTTCAGCACGGAGGCGTTGCTTTCAGGCTTAACCGCCTGGTTGCCTAGGGAACCGGGCAGCAGAAACCAGACGGGGCTGGGGGAAAAGAAAGCGTTTCCAGGTCAGCTCAAACATGGAGAGGAGAGCAGAGAGACAAAGAGTGAGTGAAAGGGATCTGGTGGAGGACAAAGGCTCGGTGGACAGGCAGTGGGGGGAAGCAGAGGTGCTGGCTCTGATATCAGTGTGGGACGAGGTTGGAGCTCAGCACGTAGCAGAGAGCAGAACCACGTTTGAGCTGATCTCAGAGCGTCTGAGGCGGCTCAGCGTTGTGCGCAGCTGGAGGGAGTGTCAAGCCAAATGCAGGAGCCTGGGACTTCAAAGCAGGAAGCCTGACGCAGCAGCAGCAAACTACAGCCCAGGAATGGATGGAAGGCCAGCGGAGGGTTGGGAGGAAGAGGTGGCAGACGTGTGTAATCAAAGAGGTATCTTCCCTTTCTCAATCACAGTCCCAGTGCAAGAAGGTAGATGTAGGTTCAACACAAACTATAGCACTCATGATAGCAATATGACTACTTTGAAAAAAAGAAAAAACTCAGAGCATTCAAACATGTATTCAACACCAATCTAATTTAATAAATCAAAAATCTGCCTGAGTTAACAGTGTGTGCATGTGTGTGCAGCAACGAGGAGTCAAATCCATACATACAATCCAAATGTGGCTGAAGAAGGCGGCCGCCACTGGACAGATGATGAGGTACGAGCGCTGTTGTGCATCTGGGCTGACCGCCATATCCGGGAACGGTTAAAGTGCACGCTACGCAACAAGTCCATTTTCCAAGAGATGGCTCGACAGATGCAGAAAACCTTTGGGGTGGTGCGCAACTGGAAGCAATGTCGAACGAAATACAAGAACTTGAAGTATGACTACAAGACCGCTAAAAGTGCTCATGCTGCTGGAGGCAGCAGCTCAGGAGGCCCGGGTAAGTATATGAAGTTTTTTGATGAAGTGGAGGCCATTTTGCTGGATCACGGGCTGGAAAATGGAACTTTGGAAATGCAGAAGAGGTTGTATGAGGGAGAAGCCGCAGCAGCGAAGCAACAAACACCAGCAGGCCCCACAGGACAGACGGTGGCCTCAGACAGTGAGGTTGTCATTGAAATTGATGATGGTATGTATTCAGTCTGCAGTGCACATAGTAGCTCTTGGATTCAAAATTCAAGAAAATAATTTTTTTACATTTTACTTTCAGATGAAATCAGTGACGATTATGACATTGATGGAGACCTGGAAGCAAAATGGAGAAGCACAGGTCAAAGAAATCTGCCAAATCACTTGCAAAGTTTTGCAGTGTGTGACCTTCTCTTTACTTAATCTGTTCATATCCACTACAGATGCCCATCTAACCCTCACAGATTCATCCAGCTCTGACCAGTACCATGTGGTCACCGTGTCGGACACGGGTCGAAACTGGAGTGACCAAGAGGTGCGAGCGCTGATTCAAGTCTGGTCCGATGAGCGCATATGCAGGCAGCTGGAGAGCTCGACCAGAAAGAGGGACATCTTCGTCCAGATCTCCAACCGCTTAATGCAACAAGGCATTGAACGTGACTGGAAACAGTGCCACACCAAGTACAAAAACCTAAAGTACCTCTACCGGTCCCTTCAAAGAGGTAAGGTTGATGAAGCCGACCCCAGACGGATCATGAGGTTCTACGATGAAGTGGAGGCCATCATGAATCACACTACTAACGTCTCAACTCATGACATGGAAGCCTCTGACTCTACAGATTTAGGCACATCGACAATGTTGGAGGGTTGCGAAGAGAACAGTAATATAGATGTCTATTTGCCAAAAACAAACACAGTTACTGCAGCGGTGGAAGCAAAAGAGGAAAGAACTTCTGGTTCTGTCTCAGTCGTCACCCATGATGTAGCATCAAACACTGAAGAGGAAAAGCGGGAGCCTAAAGTCGTTCAACACCACAGCCTGCTAAGTGAGCCTATTATCATCTTTCAGTCATGTCTAGTGAATGAATAATCAATGAGTTGTCAACTGTTAAATTAGGTGCCAACTATTTTGAAAGTTGAATAATCCATTTGAGGAATATTTTAAGGGGAAAAAAAACCCTCCAAATCAAATAGGAATATGAATATTTTGCATTTATTTTTCCTCCTCTTTAACAGGAAGTTGCGTACATTTGGGTTGTGGACAAAACAAGACATTTGAGGACATCATCTTGGGCTTATTACACTAAACACTAATCGAAGTTTTTTATATTTATAACAAAACAACAACCTGATTACTCAAGAAAATGGGATACTACTTTGATCTAACTAAATTATTTATTATTTCAGTGAACTGAATCTTTAAGCATTTATCTATTAAAAACACTTGGAATAAGTGGGAAATAAATACCATTTTTCAAAAGAATAAAAACACTCAAATATAATCTTTTAGTCAAATTACATCTTTTACTGAAAGAATTCTCATATTCCCAAATAAGACTTGTCCATGTCTCAGCCAGGCAGTGAAGCTGTAATTTAAATAGCATGTGAAAGCTATTTTTTGTTGGTTTTTAAAAGATCAGAGTGCTGTCTTTGTCTTGTAACAGTCTGATGTTGTTTGCAGATGCCTCTGAATCTAGGGCAGGCACACAGGATTCACCAAAAAGAGGAACGAAGAGGAAAGCTGTGGATCAAGGTATGAAATGCGGCCCCTTCTGCCATCACTTTGCCTGTCACATGATGTTCACAATGACTGACGCTTTTTCAAATTTCTGTCCCAGTCCCATGATTTCCCATAAAGTCTCATAATGAAATTAGGGATAAGAGCACGATTGTTGCTGCTAACAAAAGGCTCAACTCATGAGTAGGTCCACGAAAAGTAACTTCAGACGTCAATGAAGGACTAAAATTCTGTATTACTTAAAAATCAATCAATCAATCAATCAAACTTCCAGTAAGTGAGCATAATAATCTTAATTCCAAACCTGTTTTTGTTTTTTTTTTCAGACCCTGTGAACCACACACCAGCAAAAAAACTGGACACTGGAATAAACTTTGCTGAAGCTGCGATGACTCAGTGCAAAGAGGAGCAGGATCACATCCCGATAATAAAGATCAAATCAGTCTGTTCAATGGCCTCCTCCATTACACCCCCCAAGAGCCAGGTAAAATCTACACACTAACCCCATGTGACCCATTGCTGCAGATAAGAAATAAACATTATACAGGTTGTAGGAATGTTGGAGAAAATACTGTAAACTCACAAATTATACAGCACATTCCTCTCTTTTAAGGGAGTATGTGGCTCATCTTTTATAGCTGCAACAGCTGATTAATTATTCAACAGACAGACTTATTTGGCAACCATTTTGGCCATGTTTTCCAAGCAAAAGTGGCAAATAGGATGTTTTTTAATATGATAGTGAACTGATAAGGTTTGAGTTTTAAAGGGTTTAAATGTAGAAATAGAAAGACATTTGACTGCATCATTTTGTGTTGTGGGAAAATTAAGACAAGCATTTGGACCGTTTACTGTTAGAATGGAGTAAAATAAACTAAATATTTACAATTAAACTGGATTAAGATAATTCTGACTTCTTTAAAAACAGAAAAATCAAATATCAAAATTGCTCAAACAGCTCATTTAATACATGAAGCTCTAATTTTGATTAATTGCGCGGCCTTAAATGAATTGTCTGCTGCAGCTGTAGAGGTACATTATTTATTGTATTGTGGATATGTTATGTATCTATATATTGACTTTGTGGTTAAATTTATCACACTAAATTTAGGAGAGCACTACGGTATTCTTGCTTTGGTGATTAGTTTATTGCACTGCTCTCATTCTCACGTGTCTTTCAAGCCAGAGTGTTACGCAGCAATGTCCGAAAAGCAACGCAAGACACACCAGACAAATCAAACTTGTGTCTCGTGAGTTGTTTTCCTAAGAAATGCAACACTTTCAAAATATTGTATTGGAGAGTGTTCCTGTTTTCCTGTCTCGCAGCAGGATTTTTGCAGCAGTGACATTAATGTGTGTGTCGATTCTTCTCCTTAAGGACAAATACAAACATTGCCTCTTTATTTATTCAAGTAACTTACAAAATATGGCAACAGGTAGCAGTGAAAACACATTGTATTGGTTTATTGTAAGCTGCAGTAATTAGATCAATTCTAATTAGGGTGTGGACAGAATTTTCCCTGTTTGTTGTTGTTTTTTATTTTTTACATCAGTACAAAAAGCAGATTTGTTCTGATCATGATGTGTTTGTGGTGTTGTTATGGGACTTTATGGGCAACCTCCTGGACTACTTATAGGGTCCGTCATCGAAATTACATGCAAGTGAAACATGTGGGGGGAAAAAAGCATTTCCAAGGAAAAACTTTGTGATTTTAGCTCTGCAAATCATCACAAATGGCAGTAATTCCAAGGCACAGAGTTTAAGAAGGACCGGTCTGGCTATCCTGCACTTACTGGGATATAAAACTGGAATTTTGGCAAAGCTTAGAAACAAAACAGGATGACTTTCCGCTGCCAATTATATTAATTTTACTCTGAAATGACTTCAAAATAGTGGGATTTAAACTTTAAAACTTACATGTACGTGGGCTCTGAAAATACGAAATGACTAAATTACACTTTTTAAGCATTTTTCTAAGTGTAATTCGCCGCCGTGGTAACTTTGAGGCCGTTACACATGCACACCTCCGTTACTTACCGGTGCTGTAACGCCACCAGTCCCAGGGTTAGGACCTGAGCGACCTCCAGTTGCGTGGGCCACTCTCCGGCAGCGACACACCCGAAAACTCCGCACTCCTCCCCGATACCGGACTCCTCGAACTCCATGCCGCTGCCGCCACTGACACCGCTGCTGCCTCGCGCTGTCCTCCGGTCGGTCCTCCGTTAACCTTTTACGGACGGTCTCGTGCCTGAGAGCAAGCAGCGCTCGCGTGCTCGTCCACGCTGTCACAGTATTGAACCGAGCACGTGCCTGCCCGAAACAACGTGGCTCGTGAAAAAAAATAACACAACACAATCTCAGCCGTTCAAAAAGCGCCAATTAAATCAAGTGTCGGAAAAACAAAAACGTGCTAAAACAAAGATCGATACGCTCTGATCAGAAAACAAAAAAGTTATGAAAAATTCATCAAATGTGTTGAATTAGAGAAACTCACGTGGTGTTTTTTTTTTTTTTTTTTTTTGCGACTAATTTCAATCAATTAAATCGACTAGGGTCAAAATGACAGTTTCTTTGGTCGTCATTGAGTTTTTGATAAATCAATCTTCACGCCAAAGAGAAAATGGAGGCACTTTTGTGCACAAACCCCTAAAACTTTTTCGTCTTGTTAATGTTTGATGTGCGAGCCTCTTCCTCACACGTGACAGCCAGTGCGCTGCTGTGATTGGTTCCCAAAATCAATTGGGGGACGTGATTGGCTGTCAGCGCACGTAAGACGCAGCCCGCTTCACTCTCCCGCTGTCTCCTGGAACTTCATCCAGCAAGCACTTTTTGTCTTCTGTGTTTCAGGACGTTTCTGGACCGAGCAGCACCATGGCCTCCACTGCTGGTAATATACAGCTGTTAATACACAATTTGGAGCTTCATTTGAATGTGCATGAGGTTTAAGTTTACTGTCGTGTGCTTTCAGAGCTGAACGTCGGCCAGAAACTCAATGAAGGGAAGACGAAGCAGATTTTTGAGCTCCCGGACCAGCCCGGACTGGTTCTGGTCCAGTCCAAAGACCAGATTACAGCTGGCAACGCCGTGAGGAAGGATCAAATGGAAGGCAAGGCTGCAATCGCCAACAAAACGACGAGCTGCGTGTTCAAGCTGTTGCAGGAATCTGGTGAGGACTCAGAAAAGTTCTAACTGTGCAAATGCATTCAAATGATTGTCAGCAGATGTGTCATACTCACCCTGAGGCAAGTCTCCCACATGGAGAGTTAGGGTAGTTCTTTTCTTTGGTAACCAAGCACTCATTCACACACAGACTAGGCACACAGGAATTTTCTCAGTGGAACATCAAAGCTGGTTTGACCCTGGTTAATTTGATAAGAGGTCAGTATGTGACAGTTGTATTCAGGAGGAAAGACAACCTTGAACCTTGTTACCTTTTCTATTAGAATGACTGGGTAACAAGTCTGTTTGAGCATTTTAAAAAAATGTCAGAAAATGATGTAAATGTCATTTGCAAGCCCTCAAACCAAAACTGACATTTAGTAACATCACTGTCAATAAGTAAAAAGTGAAGGTAAACACTAAATAAATCAAGGTTCTTAAAAGCAAAAGCCCATTTATGAAGCAACCTGAATTGACCAAAGTCCTTTATCTGCTATAAGACAGGCAACAACAAACATATATGCAAGAAAAACACAGAAAAACTGTATGAAAACTAAAATCAATTAATCAACAGCACATTAAAATACATATAAATGCTCAGTAATAAGTCACAACAGGATAGCAATTTGTAAGGTCAAGTTCTAGATTAAAATATAAAACACTCATAAAAAGCTCAGTAACAACTAATGCGATCAAATTCAAAACACAGCAAATATGAAATACTGACAACACAGGGTGACAACATAAAATTGGATTCCAAAAGAAAACAAATTTAAAACTATTCAGACCCCTTACATCAGCCAAAGCTCCGATATTTAATTTCATAGAAGTCTTATGTTCTCAGAAATTACGGTCACTTGGAAAGCTGGAAAGTCTTTGTTTAAAAAGAGAACTCAAATAAGTAAATATCAACCAATTTTTTGTTATTGATTAGCTGAAAAAATTCTTTCTTTCCTGAGAGCACATGATCAGGACTACATTTTTGTCACCCTTCAATCTCACTTCAATAACTATGTTGGATTTTTATCTTGTGTACATGCAGAGGAAATTGTGATTTATGTAGAGCGTTTTTGTTTCTCACAAGTTTGCACACTGCCTGTTTTTTTTTTTGTTTTTTTTTTTTTAACCCAACTGAGAGACATGTAACAATGTTAATTACGACCTCTAAGTGGTAAAATGTGCTGAAGTTGCAGTGAGAAGCTCATAAATGGACAAATCCCTGGATGCAGTGCAGACCATGATTACTGCATGTACAGTTCTTCAATTGCTCTGTTATTTATTTCTGCTTTTGGTTAAAGCTTGTGCAAAGAGATGAGAGAAAGCATCACCAACTTGAACAGAACGCATAATTGATCAAATTAAAACTCATGAAGTAGAACAGCTCACACATGCATGTGGCTGGTGCCAGAAAAAGGAGGAGCAAAGTTAGGCAGGTGGCCAATATAGACATGTGCAGGCCCGAGCTGGTTTTTGTGATCTGAGGAGAAAGGCCTCCAAAAGCAGGAGTGTTTGGTTCTCCCGCTGCTTTGAATCCAAGAGAAGTGGCTTTTAGTGGGGACTTCTGATGGTTTTTATTGCCCCTGCATGCTTTACATGATTCCCAAATGACTTTCCACCTAGCTTGAATTTCTAGGTAATTAGTTAACTGTGCCCATACGCCCCTCGTGAGTGTCGTGTGTGTGTGTCAGCAGAGTTGTAGTAACTGCTGTCTTGTGACTTGAAATGCCTTCAAATTTGGCAGAACGTGACCAACCACACCACACCGCCTTAATTAAATTTTGGGTTAAAAGATATTTGTTCTAACTTGAACTGGTGGCGTATTTAAAGATTCATCTGTAACGCCCATCTATACAAAATGATGTTTATAGCACGTGGTTGTCGATTTCCTGCTCTGCTCTATTTATTGATCCTGACAAGAGATATGGATTCTGGGAGCCCATAAGTGGAGGCTGCCAGGCAACTTGAGGTTGGGTTTTTTGTTTGTTTGTTTGTTTTAACTGTCAATCCTGTTTTCCAGGAATTAAGACTGCCTTTGTGAAGCAGCACTCGGAAACGGCGTTCATTGCAGCCCACTGTGAGATGATTCCCATTGAGTGGGTGTGTCGGAGGGTGGCGACCGGGTCCTTCCTCAAGAGGAATCCAGGAGTCAAAGAAGGCTTCCGCTTTTCTCCCCTGAAGATGGAGATGTTCTTCAAAGTGAGTCTGAAGGGTCACCTTGATGGCGTCTGGTGTGTTTTCAGTCTTTTACGGTCTGCATGTGGACTCATTGACTCATTGTGCTTTAGGATGATGCCAACAATGATCCTCAGTGGTCAGAGGAGCAGCTGCTGGAGACCAAATTCTGTCTGGCTGGGCTCACTATTGGCCAGTGTGAGGTGGACATCATGAATCGCAGCACGGTGGCCATCTTCGAGATTCTGGAGAAGGCTTGGGCCACTCAGAACTGCACGCTGGTGGATATGAAGGTATACAGTGCAGCACTGCCCTCTGCTGGTTAACATGGTGTTGTGGTGTGAACACTTCTGAGTGCTTGACTTGCTGTGCAACCAACCAGGGTTCTTTTACGTCTCGCCTACAGATCGAATTTGGTGTAAATGTGAAAACTCAAGAGATTGTCCTTGCTGATGTGATCGACAATGATTCGTGGAGGCTGTGGCCAGCTGGAGATCGCAGCCAGCAAAAAGATAAACAGGTCAGCGCTTTGTGTTTGCCTCTCTGTTTTTAATCTGATGCTTTTTAAAGAATAAAAATCTTAAAACCTGTTTTTTGCTTTTTGTAGGTGTACAGAGACCTGAAAGAAGTTACCCCAGAGGCAATGCAGATGGTGAAGAGAAACTTTGAATGGGTCTCTGAAAGGGTCCAGGTACACCAAACTACCTAATCTACTCTTTATCTGGTTTTCTTTGGCTTTTGTTTGCATTCAATGCTCTTGCAGACAAACATCATTCAACATAAACTCTGGACCCACAAACATGCTATAACCCTCTGTATTCCAAACAGTCGCTCTTGTCACGTTTTTACTCACTGTTGGCTCCTTTTTGCTGCAGTATAAAGTTTTGTACCAATCACTGCTCGAGGTACAGAGAGCACAACATGTGTTTGCTGCAGTACAACAGTTATAATACCAAACAATGGAATCAACTCGTCCAACATTTATAAGTATCCTCTGGTGTTGTCAGCTCTGGGAAAAATATTGATTCTATAGACTACAAATATTTTAATACATACATGTTTAATTTGTGGCCATCAGCTTTGTAAACACTGCTTGTAGTTCAGCTGAGTAGTTGCTGATTTGCCTGTTGGTCACAGCTCAGTCAGTCATTGTTTAGTAATGAATGTGGTTTGAGCTAATGGTTTATTCTTGTTTTTTTCTAATTTTTTTTTTTTTTTTTACTGAGACGTGTAAAGTGAATTTATTTTGCCAAAGAAACTGAAAGTTACTCATAAGTTCAAGGACTCTGACTAATTGGGATTTAATTTTTTGAGTACACACTCTAGAAACCTACTGGTAGGTTGAGGTTCAATTCAAATGAGAATTAATGAAGAAATAACACTTTTTTTTTACCCCCCTGTAAATGAATAATCACCCTTTCTCACTGCTTGAAGCAGGCTAATGAAAGTGGGCTTGCAATGATCTAATTCTTCCTGTGTTGTTTCTTCAGCTGCTGCTGGAGCCCCAGGCCAGTGGGAGGGTGGTGGTTCTGATGGGCTCCACCTCAGACATGGCTCACTGTGAGAAAATCAGAAAGGCCTGCACCACCTACGGGATTTCCTGCATCCTTAGAGTCACCTCGGCACACAAGGGTCCAGATGAGACTCTGCGCATCAAAGCAGAATATGAAGGTGTGCATCAATATTTTCATAAAACTAGCACCTTTTTAATAAAGTGGGAATTTTGTTATGCAGTATAATCTTAAATATGCTTTTCCACAGGTGATGGCACCCCCACTGTGTTTGTGGCTGTAGCTGGCAGGAGTAACGGTCTTGGTCCGGTCATGTCTGGAAACACTGCTTATCCTGTTATCAACTGTCCTCCTCTCACACCAGACTGGGGAGCACAAGATGTGTGGTCATCCCTCCGCATGCCAAGCGGTGAGCAGAGCTCTGACTCTTTTATAATCTGAATTATTATTCACATGTGGGACATTCATTATTATAATAAGGTCTTTTATTTCCAACCTGCAGGCCTTGGCTGCTCCACAATCCTTTCCCCTGAAGCTGCTGCTCAGTTTGCAGCGCAGATCTTCGGCCTGACTGACCACCTCGTGTGGTGCAAACTGAGGGCCTCCATGCTCAACACCTGGGTGTCTCTCAAGCTGGCTGACAAGAAGTTACAGGCCTGCACTATCTGAAATGGTTAAAGACCCGTTGGAGACCAATGTGTCCCACTTTGTGTCATGTCTTTGTTTACTATGAAATACCCAATAACTGTAGATGTTTCTCACGCACAAATCATTCCATTAAAAGAGACAAATAATGAAAAGCTTCTTAGTTGTATTCATTTGTGCTTGTCTAATCCGGTTTGAGCTTTCTTCCATTTGACATTTTTACACATCATAGCAGGTTAAGCACAGCTGTAACTGACAAGTGAGGCAGTTCCAACGTCGTGACATGGTGGGTGCCAGCTCACTGTTAATAGGCAGGTCCACATTTTGTTTGACAGTTAAATCTATCATTAAGAAATGGAATATATAAATCTGCCCAGAACAGACTGTCCTCAGAAACTAAGTAAGTTCAAGAAAAAGATGAGTGAGGGAGGCCACCAAGACACCTATGACTCCTGAAGGAGTTCCAAGCTTCAGTGGCTGAGATGCTGTGCATACAACAGCTATTCCCTGTTTCATACCAAAGTTTTATGGGTGAGTGGGGGAAAAAAAGAAAGTCATAAAATATAGACTTGAGTTTACTAGAGGGCATGTGGGAGACTTTAAAGATGGCTCAAAGAAAGTTGTTTGGTCTAATGAGCCCACAAATGAGCTTTTTGGCCATCAGATGAGATGTTTGGACACTAAACACTGCACATTGTGACAAACACACCAGCCCCACTGAAGCATGGCGGTGGCAGCATCATGATGTGTTGTGTCCAGATAGCAGGCAGACTGAGACCTGTTCACACAGGCTCAGTGCTGTAATTGTGGCCAAAGGTGCATACATACAATCACTTGTTTTAGATTTTATATTTTAAATTAATTGACATTACTTTAGAGAAATCTGTTTTCACTTTAAGATGATTTTTTTTTTTTTTTAGCATTTTTAGTTTTCACATTGCTGTTTTTTGTAAATGATGTTCAGTGACTTTGACTCACTGTTTCTCATTGTTTCTAGGCTTAATGCTAAGCTAACTGGCTGTTGACAGTGGTGCAGATCGTCTCATTTACATAACTGACATTTTTTGTCTCACAGAATCAAAGACATTTTGACCAACACTGGCGACCGTTAAAGACAACAATGTCAAGCATCTGGGAATGTGTGGTATTAATTTCCTGTCACTAGGAGGGTTCATTTTACAGCTAAACACAATTTACCTTCCAGCCTTTTAAAGGTCCAGTGCAATGTTTTTCTTTGATCCCACATTTTTAAAGACTTTCTGTCAAAAATCATGCTTTGCACCTTGCTGACATGCCCATATGGTGTTTTTCCAGTGGTCTAAGACACATCAAGAGCCTAATAAGCAGTCAAAGCCATGGCTGAGCATTTCCACCTTGAAACTGCAGCGTACCGATGACAGTCTCAGAAACGCAGATTGTGTTACAGCCATAATTAGGATGAAAGCATGATTAATCAGCATGACGAGGAGCTGACAAGGTGCTGCTGAAAAGTTTATCTGCATGTGAATCATTTCACAGCCAAAGTTGGTTGAACAGGGACCCAAGTTAAAAATGAGTAAAATGTTGGTCAAGCTTTGAGAGATTACCGATGGTGTATATGTACTGCACACAGTCAAGTCACAAAAATACAAAAAAACCTCCCAAAAACCCTAAGCATCAGTTAAGACTATATAATTAATAATGCAAATTTACCTGATTTATTGAAATATTGATGTTAAGACCCTGAAATATGGTATATAAAAATGTCAACGTTAAGTCTATACAAAATTTTACATTGAAAACTCAACAAATCCAAAGATTCCCTATGAGCACGCATATTGTAACCGCTGTGGTATCATTCATTGTCTTTTTTTCTATTTTTTCTATTCATTACTTCACATTTTATAAGCACGCTCTTGATTCTCATTTTTCCAACAACTGCACTGTTTTAGAAATTCAGCTCGCAATCAGAGCTTATTTTTGGCTGAGCTGCAGCTGATTTGCATTCAAATTATGTGCACTCCTATTTCTGTTAGAAAAACCCAAAGGATTTCTGCACGAATGTGTCTCTGACTGTCTCTCTCTGATCAAATAGAAGACAGGTGCACTTCATCTGAGCGGACTATTTGCCAGCAAATAATGAACTTGAGGAGAGAGCTGCTGTCCCGCTCTATAAATATTTCCTGTGTATTTTCCATCTCAAACATACAGTATCCATGCATCTTCATTATCTGCTCAGTTGCAGGACCTAAGATCAGCCACGCGAGGGAGCCTGCGGCCCGTGCTGGCAATGCAAAATCTTAACCTTTCATTTCGTTCCAGTAGTTTGCAGCCAAGGGAATGAGTCAGAATATCATGCCACCATTTTATTTTTTACTTCTATTATAGCACAGCTTTCCCTTTGATAACAAATGATGGGTATAATGACCTATGATGTGCTAAATCTTCGTTCACGTGTGGGTGGCAGTGGGAGGATGGAAGTGCTGAGGGTAGAGTGTGGTACAGATGAGTGCATGGAGGCTGATATCTGATATACATATATGTATTAAAAAGAAACAGCCTTTGCATTTTAATTTGGAGTTCAATTTGTATGCTTAAAAATAAAATGTACTGTGCACAAATCTAATGTCCAATCGGATATGCAACAGAAAGAGTAGAGGTATAGCCACAGAGTTGAGACGGACATAATGTGTAAGTCTCAGTGACTACAGGTTTCCTTGACAACAGTAGCATGGCAACAATCGCTCTATATACAATAATCTACCTTTCCTTCACTGCTCCTTCTCCTATCGCCATGCTGAGCTCCGTAAATCCAGTTTTTACCACTTTAATTCCTGTCTGCTGTTCTTCCGCTGCCATGGATACTACAATAGCTCAGAATAAATGAACACAATATGAATCATAAGCAAAGGCTAACCCGCTGATGAGTTGTGAATATGTGTGGTCATGACTTTATCCTGGGCTTGCACTGTTGTTTTAGTGTGATTACTGCTTTCCTCTTCAGGGTAGCAAGCGAACTGTGACGGCAAGTGTAATAACAGAGTCCAAGGTCAATATGAAGGGACTTTCTCAAGACTCAAAAAAGCAATTTATTTAGCTCTCAGAGCTGTGAGGGTGGCAGATAAGTATCACTACGACAGTTTATTTACATGTTTTCTACAATAGTATTTAATCTTCTTGTTTTCTGTGTTTGGTCTTGTGTACAAAATTTCTACATCACTCTATAGATAAACATCATTGCTAACTTTTTGTTGTGGTCGTTCTGCCTGTTTTCCACTGCTGGATGCGCATGATGGTCACTCACAACATTGTCCTGCTATTACTCGGCCACCTCCACACCTCCTCTGTCGCTCACATCCTCTTCTCTTGTCCAACTAATTGCTGCATCACACACTCTTGCTTCTCTTTGTTGGTATACTACATCACTTCCAGCTATCTCTGGTGAACAATCTAACCATCCTTACAGTGCACGATCACAGCGCCCCCAGGTCGTGGCACGAGCGGGACTTCTGCCTCAGGAACTTGCCCACTTCTCGCTCTCGCGGGTACCGGGGCACCAGGCTGGACAGGAAACGTTTGGCACGCGAGGTGATGCTTTCACGCTGGCCTCCTCCGCTCATGTCCTCCGCGCTGGACCCCGGGGGCCACGGAGGCAGACCCCTGGCTAGTCGCACCGCGCACTCCAGGAGCTCCGGTGTGCGGTGGTCCAGAGAGGCCGAGATCTCCAGGTAGAGGCAGTTATAGAGGGCGGCGCTGGACATGGCCTCTGAGGGAGGAGATGCAGAGGAGAAAGAGATCAGTGAAGGTATGTCACAGTACTTAAAGTGACAATCCTCTGTAGGGTTGTGGGAGGGGTGTCCATCCATCCATCCCTCCATCCATCCCTCCATCCATCCATCCATTATCTACAGACCGCTTAATCCTCACAAGGGTCGCGGGGAAGCTGGAGTCTATCCCAGCTGAATTGAGGCAAAGGCAGGGTTCAACTGTACAGGTCACCAGACAGAGGGACAACCAAGCACACTCACATTTACGCCTCGAGACAATTTAGAATCACCAGTTAACCTCAGCATGTCTTTGGACTGTGGGAGGAAGCCAAAGCACCCAGTAAAAAAATCCACAGGGAGACCATGCAAACTCTAAAGAGATAGACTTCAGACCAAGATTTTGATAATGTTTCGGTTAATTTTTCAGCCCAACCTAAAAAAAAACAACATATGACACTCTTTTAAATGTACTGCATGGCTGCATAGATACACATTTTGCATGCTATTTTAAATTCTGCATGATATTTTCCTTATTTTTCTTAAATTTCACAAATGCTTGAGCTACTGAATACCTCAAATTTCCCCAAAGCGGTGAATCTACCAGTCATAATCAAAACACAGCCTACTTCATTCAAAGTAAGTCATCTGCTGCCAGGCTACACTCTATATCATCTGGTGCTTGTATGTGGGGTTACAGGAGGACTCCTCCACTCCAAGATCCAATTACCCCTCAAAAGTAAGCTTTCCAAGTCTGTGATCTATAAAAGGTGACCAAAAGGTCAGGAGCAAGCCATTATTTCTTCATAATGAAAGCCATACTCTTTCATCATGGAAGGTGTTGAGGATGTCTGGACCAGAAGGGAACACCAGGTGATTACTTTCCAGGACTGCAAAACCCACTGGGGAGCTACAAGGAGCAGCTTATCAAGGAGTTTAGGTGATGAGGGAGGAGTGTTTTTCTTTTCTTTTCTAGACACCAAAACTGACATTCAGTATTTAGTGGAGCAACTTCAGTATGCTTTGATGCAAGCAACGACTGTTGGATAAGAAAGAGAAGGGAAACAAGTAAATCATGAAACGACAAGTTAGGTTAGATTTGTTTTTTTCTGTGCTCTTTGGATCTTTTCATGTGTTACTTTCTTTATACTTACATAGCACATGTTGTGTATTTTCAACCAGCTTGCCTGATGTTGTTGTTCAGATATAGGAGGAGTGCATGTCGGTTCCCCGGAGAGCCTCTGTAACCTGTGATTACCCCATGGAGTCATTTACATGGATCTTCGGTGAAACATAATTCCTCCATGAGCAGAGAAACTGTTAAATCAGTTTGATCTACGACAAGCTGCAGATATTTGTTGACCTCAGTTTCGCTCAAATGAGGTAAACACAGCAAAACTGTAAACGCTCCA